CGAGAGGCGGCTGAGGCGCTTCCTACAGCGAGGGAGTGCCCCTTTTTTAAACACACCTGATGTGCGCATATAAAGCGAGGTTCTTCGCGTTGAATTCGCCTTAGTTCTCTAGTGGCATCGTTTGCGCAGATAGGCGCCTCTAATGAAGTTTTAGCACATATTTGCTCTTCAATACCATCGAGAGTTAAGGCTCCGAAGCCTTACATTGGGGTTGTAACGAAGCCAGTTCCACGGGGGAAAGGGGCAGAGTAGGTGAGACAGCAGGATCAGAACCCATCCGTTGTCCCATGGAAGGGTGGATAGCAATGAAAGGGATAAGGCGGCAAGCCGAGGCTTCCTTCTGGACCCGTGACTACCTCTGTTAAGCACCTTACCTGCCTGCTGCTGCTCAGAGCAGGTCTTTCTTAAGAAGTCTTCTCAACGTTTGTCTCCCCTCAGAGGGCCAGTGTTTGTATCACTCGATCAGCTGTACAATGCTTTTTCTACAAATTTGCTTTTTCTGCAAATTCATGCTAGGTACATGTCCTCACATATAAGGGAGCCTTAGCTCTTTTATCATCTCTCCTTTTTTTTTTTTTTTTTTTAAATTTAACACAGGATTCCTCCTTCCTTTTGTTTTCTTCTGGTCTCTTTGGGCCAAGAAGAGAGAATATTGAGGTAAGCACTTCTAAACAAGCATTCTACTCATTAGCCCTTGATTTCAGTTTCCACACTGACCTTAGCAAAAATGCTGCTGCATCCTACCACACCTGTAGACCAGGTGCAATACTCACCCTAGAAATGAGGTTGCACTGGTAGCAAGTGGATCCAATACATAAAACAGCTATAGCACTTTTCGCCCCTCCTTTATTTTTCCAGCTATCAACTGCTTTTTAGAATACCTAGTTTTAGGAAAGGAGAAAAATGCTGTTCTCAGAGATGCATCTCTCTTGTGAAGGATAACTTTGCATTTGAGAAGAGTTGCAAAGCTGATTCAGAGAAACAGGAGCCACAGAACACGGAAGGAAATGAGAAATCACAAGTCAGTCACCTCTTGGATTTTCTGCCATGCCTAGAAAACTGGCATTAGGAATTCCTCCCCTCCCCCCATACCATATGAATCAGACTGCAAACTCCCTATCTTACTATGGTATGCACCACTCACTTTTACTTCTAAGAGCTAGATGTCCTGTGTAATCAGAGTTCGGTATTCTGTCAAGAACAGTCCAGGTGGTATTTTGATCTACTCTCCAAGGTGTGGTTTTGAAACAGGACTGTAGAAGCAAACTACATAGAAATAGGTACACATTATGCAAATAAAGAGTGCAAATTGAGTTGGTATTGCATTTCCAGCAATGTGGTATGTGATCACTTAACATAATCATATCCACTCTGTTATGGAACTCTTGAGCAGACAGTTGCCCTGTTAGCCTCAGGTTTGTCATAACCATCACTTGTTTCTTAAACAAAGAAAGCAAAGAGGTTGGCAAGAACGCCTGAACCCACCAGTTGCTGCTTTAGCTACACAAAAATAGCTGTATACTCATGATACTGACTTTTTTTTTTTTTTTAAGATGATGAGATAACAAAGTACACATGCGCAGTTCAGACACACAAAAGTCAGGACCACGGTTCTCGGGAAGCCCTTTATTCAGCCAAGGCATTAAAGGAGAAGCTATCCCTATTCACCACGCTTCTCTTCTTGAGGTGGTTCATACTGAGCCAGCTGTGGATTTAAAGAGAGGAAGTTAGTTAGCTGCAGCAGTCTTGATAAACCTTCCATATTAAGCTAGGTGGAAAAAACAGTTTTTGCCAGTAATGCTGCATTTACTTTGTGCATTTTAATTCATCACTGATATTTATGCAAGTCCATTTTCATCAAGTCAGGCAACAAAATAATCCTTCACTCAAGACACTTGACTCGCTGCGCTGTCTAATCCTGCAGCTATAAAAAGGAGGCTTTGCAAATGCACTTTAAAACATCAGTCTTGCACTTAGTTTTTAACTGTTTCTTGCGCTGCATCTTAGGAAGTACTTTTAATCAAAAATAGCAGCCAACATTGATTAGTATCTTATATTCCTTATTTTTACCAAAATATGGTTGAATGAAGTAGTCATAGCAACAGTAGCCAGACCAACATTTCCTGAAACCATCCAGTTTTCATTATGCTTTCTGGAGTGGATGGCCTAGGCAAGTGTACATTAAAGTACGACCTTTACTTTAAAAGTTATTTCCAAGAATACATTTGCAACTGAAGGCAAGTAAACACCTCCATAAAAGACAAGCACAAGCTTCAACAAAAAAAAAAAACAAACAAAAAAACAGCTCAAGTGTTAGGACTGAGCCTCTGGAATTTGCCAGTCTAGTTTTCCCCACTTAAGATTCTTTCCCTGTCCCCCAAATTGCTAGGTAGGTCAAAAAAAATTAAATCAAAACAGATTAAAAAACACCAATGTGTTCCTTGCAGCAACACCTAATTAGATCAATCACTATGCTACTAGCAAGAGATGCTAAATCAGCATTTTGTGAAACCACAAAAGATTACCAGTACACAAACTGGTCAGTTTTTTTTTTTTTTTTTTCCTCCCATGAAGGACATAACTACTGTTCCCCACACACACACACCTGAATTCCACGAGATTCTGACCAGTAAATGTATGGAAAAAGAACAGATCACATAATAATCCAATCGAGGTGGAACACCTATTAGGACATGATTCAAGTTACCAATACATGCATTATTAAAGGGATGTATCCTGTGCTACAGGACTGCTGAAAAAAGGTTAAACAGTAGTCTACTCTCTGTATTCCTTCAATGTGAACTTGACCATGTTTCAGACACAGAGGTAGAAAATAATGGAAAGAAAAACAATATATTAATATTGGAAAACAAGTGAAGCAAGAGTGAACATTAAAAGAGGGACAAAGGTCAAAACACAAAATGTAAGAGAAGAATAGTGCCTGTGAAACAGTTTAGAGGTACCAAATTATTTCTTCAGAGATTCTAGGGTGAGGAATAACAGTTCAAAAAAGTTATTTGGTACCATGAGCTAGCATCAGCGTGTGCTCCGATAGGCAAGTTCCAAAGTCCCTGCAACGCAGCATGTCAAGATACATGTTGTTACTAAGGAGAGAGCTTCCCTTTCCAATAAGGGGAAAAGTAGCACCAAATACTGCAGGTAGGCCTCAAAACATATCAAGTAACCCAAAGATTATGGAACAAGCTTTGACTTCTTTCAAAGATCTTTTTTTCCTGAGGACCCAAGTTACTCTACTTTCACACATCCACTAATTATCAGTTGCATTTTTAAGTCAGCTACACCAAGTGGATTATTGGTCTATTGCAACACCTCCCAAACTTCAGGGTCTTGGCCATTTTCCCTAGTCAGCACAAACAAGCGTAACTGCAAGCACTCAGGAGCTACAGAAACAAGAAAAGAGTTACGGGGAAAGCAAGAGGGCGCTCTAGAAGAGAGCTACAAAGAGGTAATGCCCCTTCTCCCCAGACTAAGGCTAAGTTACATAAGAGAGCTTCCTTCCTCCACATACTTTCTATCGGCTACATAAAAATAAAACCTGTGGTGAACTTTTCCTATGAACAACTAAAGGAAAGTTCATGTATGAGAACAGCCATACTTCTCAAACACACAGAGGTCCACAGTGGCTCATAAGCCTCAGGCATACTAATAGCCTATTACCCTATACTATAACCCTAGAAGCAAGGCTTCGCTTCTTTAGTGTTGTTAGGTTTAATATTGGTACCCTGAGGTAGGAGGAAGCTGTCCACATCTCAGAGCTGTATCAGACAGCCTGTAGACCCATAAAAGCATAGGCTTGCATAAGCTAGCACTTCAGATCCACTCTCTTTGCAGATACAGGCATACTAGAGCTGTTTTAGTTGAAGTGAAAGTTAGTGTTCCGCATGAATAAGGTGCCTCCACCAGTTATATCCTGCCACATGCAAATCAATTGTAGGGGCACAGAAGCTAATACATATTTTTCCTCCCTCAGTTAGCCTTTTGGAAGCTTTTATGGTTATATAGCTTTTAATTTAAAAAACAACAACAACGTAATATATAAAAGAAAGCTCTTGTGGAAGCATGAGCTACATATTATCAAACAATTTAAAAAATCCAGATGGGATCAAATGAAGATATGGGATTAACTGACCGTTAAAAAAATACATACATACATCATATATATATATATATGTTTGTATGTTATCAGTGCTGTACTACAGAAAAGAAGTCTCTTCCCCATCGAAAAGTCTTCCCTAGGCAGAAATCAGGAATGAGTTAATATTCCTCAGTCACGAGGCTAACAATGCAACCACATTTATTTGTTGCTACACTGAAATAAAGTTAGCTGTATTGTAAATTTCAAAGAATTCTTTTGCTGTGAAATATGGAACTACTTAGGAACACTAAGTAGACTTTTACCTTGCTTTTGAGATTTTTATTCTCTTCCAACACAGCTTCATATTTTTCTTTCATCTCTGCCACTTCCAAGCGAAGTGCCTCTATTTCTGGATTTTCAGGAGCTGAAGCTCCTAGATGATGCTTCAGAAAGCTGATATTTAGATGTTAAGTATTACTTCAGTTAGAAAGCATAACTAGATTTTAGTTTTAACACTTATTATTAAGTTAGTGCTAGAATAAACATGCCAGGAGTTGCATTAAACCATTTAAATTACTGCAGTGCTTTTCATCCTGCAGGAGTAAGTTATAAAAATAAGAAAGCTTTTAAAGTTTGTCAGTAAATTCCTAAAATAAAGACATCACTAAATACAAGACACATGCAAGTGTTTTGCTACACTGAGCTTTTTTTTTTTTTTTTTAAATGCAAAAGATGTTAGCATATCAGCTTATGTTTTGAAGAGTAAAAAAGAATAAGCAACAAGAGAAGCAATAGCCATAAAGGTAGGCTGCCTTTTTTTTTTTTTTGGCGCACCCTTTTATGTTAAAGCAAGGGAGCAGGGTCAGGAAATAGAAGAGACTTCAGAAACCACAATCAAATCCAATCTAATGTGGCAGGTCTCCTACATATTTCTGTAATAGCCTAAAACTTACTTTTGTAACTGCTGGCATACTGATGTGCGTGGCTCTCTTATCCTGCCAGAGTTCCCCATAGCTTTCTGATCAGACAAGTTTTCAGCCAAGAAGAATTTTACATGTGCTTGTAGGACTCTTGGGTGATGAACAGCAGCCAGCAACAGAAGAATACTGGTTTGGAAACGTCAGCAGCCTTAAGGTTGTTAGAAGCTGCTAGTTCAATTTAAGAGGAGTTTACAATTGTCTGTTGTACTTGGCTGATCAAGAGCCACTTGCAAGACTGCTATTATTAACTAAAACATGTAAAAGTTCTGTCCTTATTTTAAATCTCCTATAAATGTTTCTCCAGTTCATCTTGGAGAGAAAAAAATACCATTTGTGTTTTGTGTTAAGTCTCTATGAACAATTCACGGAAGAGAAAAAGGATACTCCAGTGCACTATTCGGTTTCTCCGGCTCTTCATATAAGGCTACCAATACTGGAAAAAACAAAACATTCAGCAATTGCAAGCAGTACAATAAACTGAAATATTAGAGCATGTACCAACAGTCTGAAGACATACAAGTTGGAATTCCACATTTATAGAAAACTTGCCTTTAACAAGACTTTTACCTATTTCCTTTGACTGTATAAATAGATCTGCACAGGAAAGAACAGAGCATCGCATGCAATAACAGCTACTCAGAAATTGTGTCAATTCCCGTACCCATAGGCGTAGGCTATTTAGCTCAGAACACAGAAACGAACAGCCTGGACAAATGTGGCATTTTCCACGTGCAACCATAGCATTAGCTTTCATCACTAAAATGTGAATTCCAACTATTTTGAGACTCTTGCTTCAGAAATTATTATTTCTGTTTAGGCTACATCTTTGAAACGCAAGACATCGTCAGCACTTCTGTAACTTTCAGTATAAAAAGCAAATCTCAACTGAACATCTACCGTTAGACAACGAAATGGGTACTGTCAGAGTAGATGACGTTCATCACTCATAATCTTTATGGATCTGAGTTCTGTTGGACAATGCCAGGCAGGTCAGGCACAAGCATCGGTACCCTGATAAAACCAGCCATATACATACGCCAGCTCTGTATGTGGAACGCTCAGTCTCATGAATCATTAGAAAATTCCCAAATATACGCTTCCCCCAAACACACACATAGCCATAGACAATGTTTGCTTTTATAAATATTTTCTGAGCAATGTTTACATGGGACTTAGGTGTCCTTCGCCCAGCTTCTGATGTCCAAACTACAGAGCCACATTGGTTTCAACTAAGCACCTAAGTTAAAAATAAAAACAGAGTGCTATTGTTTGGAATATGTGTTTTGCTATCGCAGAGGATGCTTATTACCGTGATAGTAGAAGCACATCGACAAGAAATCAAGTACTGCATACGCTCTAGGCCAATAGTCTTAAACACAAAACCCATTTGCTTGACACACTAGATCTGTCCTCTTTAAAGAACATGCTTTTCAAGCAGGGATGTTAACAGACTTTGTCAACATACTATTTGAAGACTCTCAAAAAAAAAAAAAAAACTTAGCAGACATTGGGACCATACTGAAAGTCAGAACAGGCCTAAGGTTTAGCATAAATATTTGCCCTAAGTATCCAATACAGATACTTAGTCATTCAAGTTCACAAGATCTAGGAGGAGCTCCAAGCTTTACTCAAAAAAAAAGGATCTTTTTAAATAGCATGTTTTTAAGAGATCATTTTGTGTTTTGCCTCAAGCATTTACTTACTCCGGAGATTTGCGGCAGTATTAGAGCCCCCAAATGAGTCTGTTTCCAAGAACAAGCTCGGAGAGAAGCGCTCTGCCCGAGTGAGAGAGGTCCGCAACACAACAGACCAAGGAGAAGGAAACTGCCTTTATGCCACTCCGGTGCCTTTACCGTTCCCGTAGCGGCCGCCCCAGAGGCGGCAAACTGCCAGAAATGCAGCGGGCACACGAGAGTCGGTCGCGTCTGCCTCCCCCAGGACGCCCCGCCTCGGCGCCCAGCCCAGAGGCGGCTTCGCCGTCGCGCACGGCT